AGTTGACGGCCGGAAGCAGAAAGTCTGCGACTGCACAATGAAAAGAAACTTCAGCAGAAGGGGTTGCGCAGATGCATAGGTTGATAGGTAACTTCAAAATGCAAACTGCAGAACAGAAGGGGCCCGAATGAAGATAACCGATAACCAAGGGAAGCCGAAGTGTCGAAAAACAACTAAGCTTCCGACACTTCTGGTTCGTCTCGACAAACGCATCTTTCATTGCCTTCTCCACCTGAGGACCAGTTCAAACTGGGGCTTTAGGGCTTTACCGTCCGGTTTTGAAGGTTTCGGTGCATCGAAGCTGAGGGCTCAGAACTGGACAGGGCCCCACTGGAAGTTTGGGTGCCATGCTGGGGGTCCTTGCGTACAGGATCGTCTGTGTTGGGCCTGTCTGTTGGGACATTTTGGAACCCTTTTTTGCCACTGGGCTCAAATCTGGAACCCTAAACCCTACATACCCCATTATACCCCCTTGGTCTTGAACTCCGAGTTGGCTCGATGAGCGGAAACAGCAGACAGCATTGACAGGACTAATGCGAAACCAATCACTTCGACCACCTCTTCTTGCCACAAATCCCACTTCCAATAGCCCCGAACTCTATTTTTTTGACCCCAAATCTTACACCCCTTTTGACCCTCAACTCTCTGTGTATAACGCTTTCTTCCCTCTGCTTCATCGGTGGCATCAGCTCTTCACACCGGTGCTTTTCTTGTACCGAGCCGAACGGGGGCCGACTTTCGGGGGCGACAGGGTGGGGCGACCTGTCGCTTCCGGCCTCCTTGTGAAGGAAGCCCTGTGACTGCAGCAGAGTCCGCGGCAAAGTCTCCTGCGAATCTGGGCTTCTTCGGGGTTTCCTGGAGCAGACTCCCTTCCTTTGAGACGTAGGGTTCCGACTTTCGGCTGCTGAAGTGTTCAAGGCCCAGCTGCACTTTCCCAGCATCTCGGCTTCGTAGGACAAGGAGCCCCGAAGAAAGACGCTCGTTTCAAAAGGTCACAGACTCCACGGAAACAGCCCAAGGACTCCACCGTGCCTGAACGTAGTTGGCGACACGATGCCCAAAAGGCCCGTGCCCGTCAAAGATACCCACCTTGGTGATTTTGCTAAAGTCCCAGACCGGACTTCATTTCAACAAGAGGGCTTTTGGCATGTATGAGCTCAAACTTGTGCCATGGCGAAGCCGTCAGGCCTTCATCTTTAAATTCTCAGGGAACCAAGTATCATCTGCAGAAGGTCTCATCGGAGCCCAGACGCCGTAAGATGTTAAGCAGCGCAAAGGAGAACTACTACTGATAACTGCAACTGATTCTGCTGCAACTCTGCCACACCTAGCTCTTGCCACGGTACATGCTGCATTGGCATTATACTACTGGTACCATGGCTACCGATGCAACGTTTATCGATGGCCTCTCTGCATCTGCTTAAATCTATAACTCTGGCGGCTCAGTTTGAAACCGTACTCAACGACATCATTCATCCATCGACAGAAGTCGGATTGTAGCTCACAAGCAGTATCGGAGCTTACTCTGATCAGGCACCCCAAGGCGATCCTACAGGGTACCCGTAACCGCGCATGCCACAACAAGGGCTCTTGACATGGAATCTGAGGGAGTACAGCCCTTATCCAACCGAATGGCCAGTGTGCACAGGTCCGTGTGGAAGGCGCAGAAATCGTCTTGGCTTGGGCTCTGAGGTTTCATGCCCTTGCGGCATGCACATCCTGAGCTTGACAGGGCTCCGCATGATCGGGGTTTGGGCGCTGAGAGCTTTTCTCCGCAGAGCAAAAAAATGAATATGATCCATGTTTTGAATTGAGGCTTCCATGCTCACATGGTTGAGGGCTTCAGGGTATATTCGGGCCTTGCGCCTGTTGTTTGTGGTGCTGCCCAGACTCCGACATCTGATAGGTAGCCGGTAGCCCGAGGAAGTCCTTTTCGAACAGAACCACCCTCAAGCCCTAAAGCGACAGACCTGAACACGAAGCCCCAAACATCCGCCTTTCTCGAAGCCACGACACCAAGTCTCATAGTTGAGCCGAGCATCCGATGCCGAACTTGCTCAGGGCTCCGGTTCCTGGGCCCAGGTCATTCAGGAATATACCTTATAACTCATATTGGGGATCCTACTTTAATTTAAGGTATATTATATACCTTAATTACAGGGATATCTCGGGAAATCTGGAAGGATCTCTTGAGTGCTTACGTGCCTTCGCAAGCTGCTCGAATGGCCATCTTCTAGACGCAGAGTATAGGACGTGATGCATGGAGTTCTTCACCAGGGTGATTTCTGAGAAGTGTGCTGGCATGTGTAAAGGCTTTGCCAAATTTCTAGGAAGTATATGTGCAGAATGAAGGTTACAGCATGGATTCGAATGGCCTTACCAAACAACCATCTTTGTCAGAAGGATGAGGATGTGCAAGTTCAGACAAAAGAACCTACGGGGTTGTGTCGACAGGAGGAGCTGTTTACAAAAAACATCCAGGCTTCCATTGCTTAAACAAACACATGCCGTTACTGAGACATGTTCAGGACAATTGAGAAAGACCACACGTGTCGGGGTTTTCACTGCAAGAGAAGCGGGGTCAACATAATTCGTGCATCTTCGACAAGAACAACATGTTGGGAGCGTAGGCGATAATTCCCCCCAATGTTTAGGTGTTTGGACTGGGTCCCACAGATGGCCTGTTTTGGCATCATTGGGCTTCTCGTCGGGCAGCCACTGTGCCCTCTTCGCGCCACTAAAGCTCACAGAAGCTTGATACCGAGCTGCCTTCCGCCTTGATGTTCTTCGGCTGAAAACCTTCTATCTCGATCTCCTGGCGACTGCTCAAAGGCTCCGTTAGGCCACGAGGCTAACTCGGGGCAAAGCGGCATCAAGTTTACGGCTGGTTGCCACCAGTCCCTTCATGCAAAGTATCTGCACGCAGGCCACGTTCATGGGTACGGGTGGCACATTTCAGGTTCTCTGGGTCAACGGCAAGCAAGCCCAAACTTCAATCTAACGTTCACACATGTGAGCTGTGAGCATGCTCCCCTTTAATTTACACTCCATGCCCTATGCACCCGACACGCTTTCACAAAGCAGTGCAAGGGCACGTGACTGCCTGTGCATCAGATGCCAGAAGACCGCGTAGGGCAAGCCGCCGCTTACGGCCGGGGAGGAGCCTGGGAGAAGGACTGAGGCTGTAAGATCAAGCTGGTTAATTCAACTCCTTTTTCCGTCTGAGCATGCCGCGGCTGCAAAAGCTATCGCCCCAGGTTGCTTTAGAGCTTGGCTACATGTACATCGCGTGCCCTGAACCCCAAACAACAAAACACCTTAAATCCCAAACAGAACAACAAACATTCCCAACCCCCCCCCCCCCCCCAAGGCCCCCGAAGCCCCAGAAGCCCCAAACGGCCAGGCAGCTGCAAGGTCGCATTCGGATCGAGAGCGCCTCGGCTATGTATGCGAAGCACGGAGACCATCACTTCAGAGAATCGTGTCGGTCCTATGGGGTCTACCTAGAGGCTCCATAGTAGTTCCTTTTTGGGGATCATATTTCCAATCCTATAAGGTAATCCCATAAGGAACTACTATGGAGCCTATGGGTAACAACATGGCTGAATGTCTATGATTAATCATTATACTAGTCTTGGAAGTAATTGGTATCAATGGTATTGTTGCTATGACTGGCAAAACTGATCGTAGCAGTATTTTGAATCTTTATATTCCTTTAAATTCCCAGAACTGCCCAGAAACCGACATATCAAGGATTCGTAGCACTCTTGTGTCTTTCTGACATGCTCATCACCCCACCGAGGCGGAACATGGTGCGGTCTCCGAGTGTGGGAACTTATATACAAATATATATGTATGTATGTATATATATATATTTTTTTTTTTATAGATTTGTTTTTTTTGAGGTGGGGGGGGGCGCTGGCAGCGGACGAGCAGGAATTCGGATTGAGCTGGAGTTGTCGCGGAGATGGACTCTGCAAATGGATATATGCCCATCGTGAGTTGTTTCGTGGCTGTTTCATGGCAGGGCAGTTGCAAGACCGAGCCCTCGCAAGGCTTGAATTCCCGGCGCAGATGCTTGAAAGCAAATTAGGGCAATTAGGGTTTAAGGGGCATTAAGGAAGCTTTACACGGATTGGGATTCAATCAGCCGTGGGCTTCAACTCTCGCGCTTTCTTGCGGCAGGCAAGGCTTCACAAGGACTGGCTTAACGACACTTCGCATTATAGGTCATTAGGTTTCGACCAAACAACTTACGAAACCTTACGAACTAGTTACATAGTTAATTGTTAATTCCTTAACACCGGAGAACCAACGGACCCACTCCGGGCTCAGGGCTTTACTCAAACTGTTCTGCTGGGGCTCTTTGCCCGGACTTTCCGCAAAGCCCGCCCATGGCACCGAGGTTTTCACATCTCAGGGCCAGCTTAGCCTTTAGCCGTTCACTGCTTAGGGTTGAGGACCGTAGGGCTCTTCAACGGTGGACCTTGTCTTTGATTATGTTGACGTCAGCGCAATTCTCATCTGCAAGTAGAGCCTTTTCTATATCTTAGAGCTGCTTGCCTCAGAAGTTATGATGCCGGCCGCGCTTCGTGAGACTAGGGCGCTGTTGTTTTGAGCCCGAAAGCCAAGAAGAGGTCCGCATTCTTCATGCTGGCAACCACATGGTGCAAACACACTCCCTACTTACTGTAAGCATCACAGGCCCTTGTAGTAACAAGTTCAGCCCAACTTCAACGGCCAAAGTATTGAAGTTTAAGCTCCATGACCCTAAAGCCACAATCCAAACGTTGAGACGTGCACCCCAAAGATGGAATCGCACATGCCAAACCCCACAGCCCTGACCCTTCAGACCCAACGCCCTGCAATCTCAGCAGCTGTAACTAAATCTATGCCACACACACACACACATGAGGCAGACGTGATCATGCAACACATTACGGTGTAGTCACGATATCACTGGACAAGTGCTGAGCTGCGCCAGCACAGCCCGACAAAAATCAGCGTGTGGAGATGCAGCCCGCAATCGCAACAAGCTGTAGCTTGTGGTTCACATTCAATTCCCATCGTAAGTTCGCAGCGACATTGATGTCTCCACCATCATCCTTCCAAGCTACTGCCGCCGCACGCTCCTGTGCATGCAAAAGTCCGCTAAATGACTCCGAGGACATGAAACATGACGATCTCATGGAGGCCTTGCTACAAGCAACCTGGTACATTTATGCAGAAAATGAGGCTCCAACAATTTGGTGGCTTGCGCTTTATGTTGTGCTACAGAGAACAAGGCCAGGACCTGCTCGTGTAGGACCCACTGGGGCTTCATCCGGCTTCGCCTAGGCGCGGCCAGCCCTTCTGAATCTTGGGCGCTGTTTTGCGTGAGGATTCGGACCTGTAGTGTAAGGCGAGGGAGGTCAGAGCGAGTTTGACCCTTCGAATCTCCAAACCTCCACCACAAGTTTTGACGACTCCTTACGGATAGATAAGGGGCCTGGAAGAAGAACGGAAAGATGCTTCCAGCGTGACGACTTCGTTCGATGCGTGCAAGTAGCTACAAGTGAAGACTCCAAAAGCATGCGGGGTGCTCTCAGCGGCCCGTCTAAGCCCACAGCCAAAGGTCTTCCACCTCTTGCAGTGGCTTCTCGGAGAGCTTCGTCTTCAGTGCTTCGAAGCTGTAGAACTCCTGAAGTGAGGGCTGGCAAAAACACAGAGCCCTGAACAAACTGGGGACCTTGAAGTCGCAAAGGCAATGACTACACTTTTGCTTCAACCGACAGTTCGGACTTGCGACTCGGAGGGCCCATTTCCAAGGCCCAGTGTCATCGACATGCAGCAATGCCCTCCCTCGAAAAAGAGAGCAGCTCGAAGCTCGCACCCAGTTCTTGCCCTCGACCCAAAACTGCCCAAACCCCTCAAACCCTACACCTATATCATACAACTTCTTCTACACACCCTCAATCAATAAAACAAAATCCTCAACCCCTGAAGATGCCCTCGAGCCTATGAGCCCCGGAACCCCCCCCCCCCCCACGTGGGAGCTTTGGCCACCGGAGTCGCTCCTGATCTTCGGGGTACTGCCTCGTTTCGCTGGCTCGGATCTCACCCCCATCGTCCTGGCAGACGGAAACTTCGGTTACGGAACCACGTAGGTTCGTGGAGTGTGGAGTCCAGGGTTTCAGGGTTCGGGGTCGAGGGTTTCGGGGTTAGGAAGCAACGTCGGCCAGCTTATCTAAAGCTCTGCTGGCACGGCAGAACTTCTTCCTGCGATTAAACAACAACAAGATCACTCGGCGGCGGATTCCCCACATATTTGCATCGCAGAAACTGACCCTGGACGGAGCGAGCTGTAAACCTTCAGCCCAGAAGCTCGAGCCCTAAAGCGCTAAACCTTATATAACTCTAGCTTAGCCGTACTAGTACACATCCACAACCAACCAGAAACTCAAGTATATAAAGAGGCTGGAACAATCAGTAACAGTATCACCGTACACTCCCTATATCTCCCTATGTTCTTCACCCTACAGATCCGCCTCCGTATGTGAATCTAAGTATATGTATGTGTATTTGTGTATTCGTGTATATACCTAGATATACAGATACATGGATAGACAAATGGAGAGCTCGATAGATACATAGGTAGATGGACAGATAGATAGATAGATAGGGAGGTAGATAGATAGATTGATAGATTGGTAGATAGGCACATATATATATAGAGAGTGTCGGCGTGGGGGGGCGCTAAACCGTCTGTTCCACTCGCTTCACTCGCTCCGACCGTTCCACTCGTTCCACTCGCTCCACTCGCTCCACTCGTGCCACTCGCTCTATCGTTCCACTCGCTCCACTCGCTCCCCGTACGGTACGTCTATACAGAGTGAGTGGAGCGAGTGGAGTGAGTGGAGCGAGTGGAGCGAGTGGCGTGAGTGGCGCGAGTGGAGTGAGTGGAGCAAGCGGCGTGAGTGGCGCGAGTAGCGCGCACGAGGTTTTGGGATGTTGAGAGTCCAGTCTTTAATTTACGGGCCAGCCACTCCACCGTTCCAAAGGTGCCAGTCGTTCCAGTAGAAGCGTGTTCCGCTCGTGCCACTCGCTCCACTACTCTTTCCTTTAGCAGAGCGAGTGGCGAGTGGCGCGAGTGGAGCGAGTGGAGCGAGTGGCGCGAGTGGCGCGGACGACTTTAATTCTCCCCCCCCGCGCGGCCGCAATGTATTATATATATATATATATATATAGATAGATAGATAGGTAGCTCGGGGACAAGCTCTAAGAATGGCCCTCATACTCCAATCACAACCGTTTACGTGCAGACACTGTAGCCTACCAATCAAGAAACCCAGGCAAAGCTAACGAGTACTCACATGAAAAGTCTTTTGCTTGAGCCCCCAATACTCCCCCAAATACTTGTATACATTCAAAGTCTTTTGCTTGAGCCCCAGTCCTTCCACTCTTCCGCAGCCTGGCTAGGGGCCCACTTGGCAAGGATCCGACAGGGCCGCTTGCAGGGAGGAGCTTGTCATTCCACGGGCTCACGGTTTAGGATGTAAGAGTTTCGGCACTCACGCTCGGACATGCCAAGCATGGTGCTTGACGCGCAGCCGGCTAGCGGTGCTCAAGTTGAGGGTCCAGGCTGTGGGGTGGAGGGCTCACGGTTTACGCGCTTACAACTCGGACAAACCAGGCGAGGTTCAACAGGTGCGAGTCGGTGTGACACCGTTTGCAGGTGCCAGGAATCACGGTTTAGGATTGCAGGTTTCAGGCTTCAGCCTTGACGTTGTCAGGGCCTCGCAGTAGGATTCCAGATCTTGGGGACAAGGATTCGTTGAGGAGTCCACAAAGCTCGATGTGGGTACTTGCTGGCTTCGTCATCCTTAGGCGCATACAGGTACACTGCGACTCATGCGCGGTCAGCCAGCTTGCAGCAGACACATCCAGCCTGTGAACATAGAACAAACTTTTTGAGCATCAACCTGGACAACCTGAGCATACATCAACCCCAACCCAAGTACACATTACATCTGTGCAATACATACCAAATCCGGGACACCACTTCGCAACCTGGTCTCCCACAAAAATAACCCTGAGTGCCCTTGAACTTGTGAAATCCTTATCTTATAGCACTGCGAGGCCCCTCAATTACTGAAACCAATTAAAAAGTACAATTTGGGCAGGTATCCTTTCAAATTGCATGAGGCTTCTCTCAAACATGTAGAGCCCTGCTGGCATCAACAACTTATAGAACCTGCACAAAACCGGCTTCTGAGAGCACACCCTAAACCCTATGCACAAACTGCTTCTAAAAACCTCTCTTCGATGGCCTTGGCCGCCTGACTCAGCTTTTCGGCAGACTTTGCCTCGGGGCTGCGGCGGGACCTGGCGGCTACACTTCTGTGTCAAAAGCGGGTTCGGAGAGAATCTGGGGTTTCGACGCTCACGCTCGCACGCAGCAGGCAAGGCTCCTTTAAATGAGCCCTGGAATCTAGCGACTTGTTTCGGTTTGCCTACAATAGGCCATCCAAAACAAGGTAAAAAATCTACGATTCAGGGTCTAGGTACTTGTAGGGTTTAGAGAGGGGCGGGGTGCAGGAATGAGGTCTGCAGGTAGTGGAGTCTCGAACTGGGTTCTGAAGTTAAGCTACCTCTGTGTTATGGTGACTTCCGGGAGATTCCTCGGCCAGGATCCGCCAGCAGGTCGTCATTTGTCGGGGTTTGTCATCTATTGTAGGACATGGCTTCAGAGAAACTAGGGCGCCTGAATCAAATTCCTCAAAAGGCTTTAGCACCTTAAACAGTTAACACCAAAATAAACCATTAACGCCCTATGCGCTGAGCCCTAGGAAAACGTAACCCTGGACCCCTCTTTGAACGAGGTTTCTCTGTAGTCCCTGGACCCTAAAGCCTCAATCAAGCCCTAAGCCCTACAGCCTAGATACTTCAGCTCTTGAACAAGCCCCCTGCGCGTTTAACATCCCTAAACCTTAAGGCCTATCAAATGGTGCAAGTACCCAATGAGCGGATACTCCTCAAATTGCTGACCCTCATGACGAACTTCGGACCCGATTTGGCAGTATAGTATGCTATGGTTGATATTACAGTATATGGCACTGTCATGTAACATATCATAATAGAGGAGGGTATTGGCACATATTACCGTAGATTATAGTACAAAACCTTAACCAGCCTCGATTCTCGCTTACCTCGGCTCCGACGGTCGCGGCTCTTTTGGCCTCTCGTGAGCCGCGGAGTTCGAACGACGAAACCCTGGAAGGTTTTCGGCTTCAAACCCCTTCGGGTAAAGGGTGTGCGTTGCCTTCGAAGGGTTAAGGGTTTAGGGGTGTTGGGGTTTCATCTGATAGTTTGGCTTTTTCAACAGAAACCGGCCCTACACCACAAATGCTGAAGCCCCAAGCTCTTACCACCCCGAACCCACCAACACCTAAACCCTACACCCCTAATCGTCCTGGCCCCAACCTTTGAATCTAAAGAAGCCTGAAACCCCAAAGACTAAAAGCCCGAGGCCCGGAACGGAAGGCGAGCTCTTGCGAGTCGAACATTGCTCCAAGAGCTATAGATTTCCGCGTATTATACGGGGTGCGTCATGCCACTGGTACTAAACATCCCTAAACCCTCTCAAAAGCCGACGGCTTAAATCCCATGATACACCCCGAACCCTCGTAGCCCTTGAGAAGCTCAGCGTGATGCGGCTTCCGCTCCGGCCACGATCTCGCGACCTGATCTTCGGGCTCAAGCGCTCCGTGCTTAAGGAATTCAGGTTCAGGCTCGACCTCACATCTTCGGCGACTGCTGACAAGGTGAGCACAGAAAGGTGCAGATCAAAATCCGGGGACTTCCTGGCCCCCCCAATCCTGCAAACCTCCAACAAAAACTGCCGCTGACATCTGGCAACACAGGCCCCTAAGCACCACCTTAAAGTACACTGCAATGGCGTAGTTGTCCAGTTTTTTCTGCATGCTTTTGACCAGGCTCTATACAGAATGCGTTGATAGTGCAAGGCACCCCTTCAACCCTGCCTGCGACCCGATGGTCACAAACCCGGAACCCACCTCCGCTGTGTGAGGTTGAAGCGCGGCGGAGACCCTTCAAAAGCCTGAACGAAACCAAAACAATGCAAGTCTGCTTTTCCGACACCGTAGCGTCTAAACCCAAATAAATCCGAAATTCCAAAACCTGAGCCACAAGGCCTCTTGCCCCTGCCCTGCACTCTAGAGCTTGAACCCGGACCCCTCTCTAATTTTCTCGATGCACCCCAAACCCTAAGGGCCTTATCAGCCCTGAAACCTGTCATTCTTTCATACTGACACCTGCAAACCCTTAAGCCCAAACCCTGATCCCTTAGCCCCCTATCCCTTCAGAACTCTGTTCCCTAAACCCTAAGCCCCTCTTTAAGCTTTCCCCGTCACTTGGGCAAGTGGCCGTTTCCCTTCTGCAGGTTCCGCTTTTTTCTGTCGCTGGATGACCTTCGTCGGTACAAGGTTTCCCCGACTTATAAGGAGAGGGATTCTGCAAGGGTTGTTCAAAGGTTCTAGAAAGGACTCTACATGGATTCCATAAGGGGCTCGATAAGGGGTCTACAAGCGTTCTATAATGGTTTAGGCTTAGGATCATGGGACGAAGTGGGTAAGACTGCTTACAGATACGTAGTATAGGAAGGTAGGTAGGTACTACCTACTTGTGACCACCATAACCCACACAACCTACCTAGTCGTTCCCGGATCCTTGACCAAGTTCAACATCATGAAGCTACCACGATACGGGCTCATCGGGTTCGGGTTGTACGGACCTAGTCCAGGATCCAACTCTTGTCCCGAAAGCTTTGGCAGATTGACAGGTTCGTAGATTCGTAGGCAAGCAAGGCACGCAGGTAGACAAATGAACCCAACAAGCTTGAACTGAGACTCTGGCAATCCAGGGCTTCATCTTCTCTCTCCAATACTTTTCGGCCTGAGAGTTACTTTGGGTTGATGGGGTTCTTGCCAGTACCTAGATTCCCCGGTATCCTAGTGACAGCAAGCGTCGCTATTTGCCTGTTGTGCCGTTGTTGTACGAAGACTCCAAAACGCAAGGGTCTACGGGTACTACCGGGGAACACTAAACCCTAAAGCATGCAATGAAGGTGCACTGAATATTCTGCTTTCGGGATTTTGCACAGGCTCTTGGAATTTCAGAGGTTCTAGTTGATGGGGCAGCATCGATGAGTGCTTTTCGCAAGCATCATGCTAGCTGAAGGTCCAGTCGCTAACAGTTCGGCTCACAACGGTTTATGCTCTGTAGGGTTTGGGGTTTTACGCCGCCAAGCTTAAGCGCGAATCCGAAAAAGGCTATTCTCGACTGTCTACAATCAGCCTGTCACGTACACAGCACACTCTCAAGCATTCTACGTGACAGCTCTGCCTGCCATGCATACATGTTGGGCCTCCACAGGAAGTCTCGAAACATAGACCCCGGGTGCGACAACGAGCATTGGATCATGAGCGCATATGTATTTGTATATGTATAATATATATATATATATATATAGATATAGATACACATACACTGTACAAATGCATACATACATACATATATATATATATATAGACGATTGCACATACGCTGTGTGTAGGTGCGTATGAGACACAGAGACAGTGTGTGTGTGTGTATGCATGCATGCATGCATGCATGTAGGTAAGAAGGTAGGTGGATATGTGATTCCTATTTCATCGGTTGAATCCTGCTTCCACACATATAGATATCGTCTGTTGGGTCTTTGCCTTCATGTCAGACACGACCCAGATTAGCAACATCGCTCCTGCAATCGTGGGTGGGCGTCTTGTCAGATCGACATCTTCGCATCATGTCGTGGATCGTCAAGCAGATATGCTGTCTGTTGTACTGGTAGTTCCTTCGTCTGCTTCACAATTCACCCATGACCAGCCTCTTCTGCTGACATCTTCTCACCGTACTTGGCCTGCATGGCGGCAGAGGTGGGAACGGCAGAAGCCTTCTGCAACAGAAGAGGCCCTTCCAAATCCATTCACAGAAGACTTCCTCAAACCCAACCGTGCAGGCTGCTAGGCTCTCTTGGCAGCCGGCTGAATCATGCATTCACAACCAAACTCTATTTAGTCGCGCTCAGTTTTGACTCTTTTGTGCTTGCCAGCTTGATTGTTCGTGCTTACCCGCTTCATGTTAAATGTGAAGCAAGCAAGCCTCCAGGGTCCCCCTCCGCTTCCCCAAACCCTACACGCGATTCCAAACTCCGAATTCAACAGCGTGAACCCTAAATGCCCTTTTCAGCACGGACTGAGGTGCCGGCCCGAAACCCTAAACCCTGAATCCGCAGATCTACTGCTGACGCTCGAGGTGTGCCTTGAGCTCATCGAAGGTGTAGTACCTGAAGGGCTTCGAATTTGGTAGTCTACAGTCGGGGCGTGAGGTTGACATACCTACCTGAGGCAACCTTTTCTGGGAGTGCATACGTATAGATCTTGACGTATTTCTTGGTGGATGAGGATCAAGGATATTTGTTCAACAGATCATAGCCAGGTACCCTGGAAGATGTAAACAGTCTTGCAAGTCAAGATCAGATTGACTCGCATCACATGGGGACCGTCACATGCACACCTGTGGGGCACTTCTCGTCATCGGGGTCGTGCCGCTTGTCGATGGGGTCCTCAGTAGGGGGACTCCTGCTACTGCTACTCTCACGGAGGGTCCGTAGAAAAGGATGGTACTCGTAACGGCTTCCAGGGCCTACCGTCTATGGTAGCGGTTCATTTATGGCGGCAACTCCCATACAAGCATTGGATTAGAGCTGCAGGCCTTTTCAGCTGAGCGGGGCAGCCTGCATGCTGAACACTAAGCCAGGCGTTCCACTGCCGATCTTCACACGAACTTGAACTTGACCATAGCAGGATACACTGCATCCCTGTTTCAGCCAGAGATGCTTCACGTCTAGACAGCACCTTCAAAACCCGGTCACAAAGTGAAACATCTTCAGCTGTACGTAGCCTCCGACTACCCATTGCACTCCAAAGAAAAAAAAGTGCTCCCACCCCAGCTTCAGAGAGCAAATGCAGCATTGCAGGGGGGCCGAGCTATAGGTCCGCCATCGTCCTTCCACTCTTCAGCCTTAGCCGCAGGCAACGCAACATAGCACGTTTAGCAGCTCTCCCGAGACTGCGGCTCAAAGAGTGTGTCGGTAACCCGGCTGCGTCAAAATGAGCATATAACAGCACATCCAGCTTTCAATGCAATGCGCAGCTACACCGTCTGAGGCTTGGACTGGTGGCGGTGCCTTGGCCTCGTGGCGATTACGTTCAGGATTTGGGCAGTGTTTAGGGTTTGTTCCAGTATTTATCGCTGTTCCGACACTCCTGGTCCCGGGTTCAGCTTTTACAGGGGTTTGCAATCGCGCTTTCGCTTGGCTCTTGGTACTTGGACACTCCAAGTTGCAAGTTGTGGTTTCGAATTTGAAAGGTCTCCTTAAGCTGTAACGTGTAAGTCGAGCGAAGACAAGAAGCTCAGGGATGCTTGCAGCAGTGTCAAGCTATTTTTAGGATCTTCCTCCCTAAACTCTAGAAAAAGGTAGATGCAAGCCGGCTCCGAGCAAGTGCAATGAAAATTTGCTGTTTTCTGTGCTCAACTAAATGTTCCTAAACGCACGGATATCCCGCCTTGCACGTGTGCATAAATAACTGAAGAAACTTTAACTGCATGAACAGCCAACTTGACTGATCGATTGCTGGACAGACAGACAGATACATAGACAGATAGTCAGGTCGATAGATGGGTAGATCGAGACCTAAATTTGAAAACAATGGAAGGCCCTGTATGCAGTATTCTTTATCAACAAGTCAACTCCTAAAACAATAAGTACGCTAAATACAGTGTATGCATGGGTAGATTTATCATGGTTGGTCTGCATGCGTCAGAATCAGTGAAGAGATACATTTACAAACCCCTTTTTTGTTACGCATCCCTGTGTGCACGTTGTGCATGCGTATTGTATGTAAGAGTAACATGTGATCCTAACAAGGTGCCTGAATGTGCCACGTATGATACTTCTTTATACTTCTATTCCGGCTCTCACGGGGACGGATAGCAGCAGCTTTGGCTCGAAATGATCGAGCAATGACCATGAGCAAGGAGGCTCGCTATGCAGTGCCGTGCTGTTTGGTGTCTAGCTCGGCGATCAAGCATCTGACATTACCTATCATTCCAAAGGTGTGTTCCAGGTCTGCCTATCCTGTAGGTAGTCGTGGAGTGCAGCGCTTTGAAACACGGCGGTCCTTTTTGGCCAGCGGCGCTGTTATCCCAATCACTCAGGCCCCTGTGTGGCCGATTGCCCTGCTCTTCACGATCTCACTTCCTGAACCTCACAGAGGCTCAGGGAATGGCTGCCAAGCGCAAACTCTGATACCAAGGCTGTTTTGAGAGCCTCTGTGGCATCGCACACGTTTTTGAGGGTTCACTTAGGCATCTTGGACGGTGACAGGTAGCGACTCAGCTAAATCTCTCAATGTGCCTCTAAATTGCCTGATTCTGTTGCAGCCGGGGCACGTCAGCAGACCCTTCTCCTGCTGAGGATGCTAGAAGAATTATTTATGATCTATCTACATGCCGGTGTTTTTGCCTCCCGCCTGGCTAGGACGAACCTACGATGCAGGGTTTAGGGGTTTAGGGCCGGATTCGGGTTCTCAAGTTTTCATAGGTTTTGAGTTTATTGCCGGGCCAGACATATCTGATATCTTGCAACCATCTGATACAGTACAACGCGTCTCTGTTCATCGCGTGCTGTTTACACTTGGACGGCCAGAAGCACGGTCGAGTCCGACGCAGAAATGTGCCGACAAGATGCATGCAGCAGTCGGTTCAAGCCTTAGTGTTGCAAGCTCTGCTAAAGTTTCCTAAAATTCCATGAGACAATAACTACGCCAAAGGTGGGGTGAGGGTACAGAACCTTTCCACACCTCGATCTTGAAACAAGTGTTGGCACTCATCAATGCCGCAGACGAGGGTGTGTCAGAAGCGCAGCTCTGCCATATGCAGCACCGGCAGCATGCGTCGCTCTCGCCCCGTGCGCGGATGAAGCCCGCCAGTGCATACGTCTCGAACTCGCCGGTGTACATGCCGTTCTCGTCCACCTGACTCTTGACTCGCAGATACATCCAGCATTGTTGGAAGTGTCGGTGGGCCTGTCCAACGTTCAGCTGCACTGCTCCATGCTCCTGGCGAGCGAAAAATCATTCCTTGAATAGCCGGATTTTGACATTTGGGGTCTTCGTGCTTGCAGGATTTGCGGCCGCAAAACACGTTGTTAGTCTTTATATAGGCTGAGGCAGGATCCACTGCCTACTTAATACTAGACTTGCAACAAAAGACATGCCCTCCACGCCAGTTCGGCTGTATGCCTTCTAATGTCTAAACTCCAACGCGACATGTCAACTAGGAAAGAATAATTGCTAAAAAGGCTTTGACGTCCTTGGCTGCAATGAGACGGTTCGTGGCGGAGCACTTGCCTGGGACCAGGGTGCGGGTAAAACCAACCGCGCCCGTTCGAGTTCTTAAGGTTCGAGGTGTAGGGTTCAGGCTTTGCTGAAAGGTGGTGAAGTGTACGCGCACTTAATTCCATGCCATCGCCTCCGCTTGCCAAGCAACGGCAACAGTGCAACACCAGCAGCAATAGAGCAGTAGTAGCAGGAGCAGTAGGAAGAGTAGGAGTAATAGTAGTAGTAGCAGTAGTAGTAGTAGTAGTAGCAGTAGCAGTAGCAGTAGCAGTAGCAGTGGCAGTAGTAGTAGTAGTAGTAGTAGTAGTAGTAGTAGTAGTAGTCGTGGTACTAGTAGTAGTAGTAGTAGTAGTAGTTGTTGTGGTGGTGGTCCTGGTGGTGGTGGTGGTGGTGGTGGTGGTGGTGGTGGTGGTGGTAGTGGTAGTGGTAGTGGTGGTAGTGGTGGTAGTGGTGGTAGTGGTAGTAGTGGTGGTAGTGCTGGTAGTGCTGGTAGTGGTAGTGGTAGTGGTAGTGGTAGCAGCAGTAGTAGTGGTAGTAGTAGTATCAGTAGCAGCCGCCGTCCGAAAAGGTCTGAAGTATAGCAGCTGCAGTTCTGCATTCAGTACTCATCCGCCCTGACTCGGCATGTTTCTGACATCCTTAAGGAACTGGAAGCCAAGGCACGGGGGATGTAAAGGTCGACAACACGGCCCTGCCGAAGCTGGGCACATGAACGCCATCAACGCAAAGCAACATAAACAAGCAGATAAAAACCACGTAGATATACGTACATACAGTATGTGTCTGCACATAATTATAAACACATATATATATATATGTATATATATATATATATTTATATATTTATATATTTATTTATTTGTTTACTTATACACACACATGTAGTAGCTTTACATACTTGGAGGATTTACCTCGCGCTCCGGGATCGCTAGCAGAGGAAAGCTGCACTGTTGGTGGCAGAATGGAGGGCCGCGTCTCGACGGAATGGGCACCAAATTTCGTCAAACTCATTCCGAACCCGCAGTGAACAGCCGCAAATGCTTGTGCGGCACATCGATTCAACAGCCTCGTCGTTCTGCATGGCTGCTGAAGGGTGTGGAAGTGTCGGGATATCTCAGCTACTGCCTGGCCTTGATCCTGTGAGCCGAAACACGGTCAAGGTTTAGGGCTCAACTTTGTTTCTTGGGGCTTGGGGGTTTACTGTAGGGTCTTGTGGGTTTCGGATTCTAAGGTTCTATGAGTTTGGATCTTTGGCTGCTCACAGGCCGGCAATGAAAGCCTTACCCATCTTCTGCAGCTCCCCTCGTCCTGCAACAGTCCTAGAATGTAGTTGAATAATTGGAATAGGGTTTTGGGCTCCTTTTTAGTTTATCTAGTCTAACAAGTATTGTGTGAAGTATATATATATACATAATATTGTAATTGTATGTAAGTATACTATAAAGGAGCCTACAAACCCTATGGCGCCCCTAGGGAAAAATAGGTAAGTACTATCGCAACCTGTATTTGTCCAAGGATTCGGCTTTTACAGAGGCGGAAATCTCCAACGACCAAAATGCCGTGTGTAGGGCGTCATCAGTGCATTGTGTTTCCTGAGGTTAGGGCATTTACATATTATGAAGTAGAAACCGCCAACAAGAATTAGTTTTATCAGTGAGCACTTCGTATGCGACGGTCCTTTTTTGGCCAGCTGTGCCGCTATCGCAATCCCGCAGACTCACTGTGGCCGTTTGCCTCCTCTCTTGACCTTCTCACTTCTTGAACCTTAGGGGCATCAAGAAGCTCTACAACACCTATTTCCACGAATGCCACAGCATTGATTTTCACTAATCATTCAGGACGTTCACGCGGCTCCCAAGGCATTCTTTGGAGTCCCTAAAGTATTCTTCATAGACACGCTTTCGCATGTAGCTGGTCAGTCTGTCCGAGAAGGTAACAGTTGGGGGCTTCAAAAGATCCGGGGTCCCCTTTTCAGGGTGCCCTACAATGAGGATCCTCTTAATTAGGGTTTGTACCGGGCTCTGGCTCTTCCTGAAAATCCGCAATTCAGCAGGTAAGCTACGGTCTACTTGCCTGTCATGCCTAATTGGCTGGTGGTGCTTTGTTGCAGCTCGGGCACGTCAGCAGTCCCTTCTCCTTGCCACGATGCAAGAACAGGTTCTGGCTAAACTTGCCTTTGGTTAGTAGGGAATTGAAGAGTGGTAGCAATAGTAATTGTAATCTTACCCCATTCCTCCATTCCCTGCTAACCAAAGGTAAGTAAATAATTTAAGTTGCCATGTTCTGCGAGACCCCCCGCCTGCAGAGAAGCGTTGGTGCCCCAAGCTGCCGACCCCAATATAGGGGCCTAAATAATTACCAATAGTATTTTGGGGCGGTTCCTTGTTATAAGTAGAGTACAATAGGCCCCAAAACCATATTCTAATTATTAAGGCCCCTGTAGTATGCAGCTCCAGGAGCGATGGCCACCTAAATCCTCGAAGCCCACTTTTTTGCAACGGCCTTGCAAGCCCTAAAACCGGAGCCCTAAGAATACAGCCGTGGAGCGTACACCCTAAACCTCAATGCGGAAAACCCTAAAACCTTAAACTATTGCTGCTGTTACTTGTAACACGAAAATTCGTAGTAAATTCTAGTGTTACAACAACAACAACAACAACAACAACAACAACTACTACTACTACTACTACTACTACTACTACTACTACTACTACTACTACTACTACTACTACTACTACGACTACCACGAGTACTACCCTGTGCCTTGGCTGTATACGGCATGTGCCCCAAACTGCACAGTCAAGTGGCGGCGAGCAGTCGATTCAAGCCTTGGCTTGGCTGTTTCCTTTCGAGTCCTCTAATATAGGGGCCGGAGTAATTAGTATCGGGTTTCACGGCATATTCTCGCATAAATCATAAACATTTGGGAACGCTGAGGGGTTTGTAGTACTGAGTATTCAGAGCCCCCAATGTTCGATCGCCAGAGGTTTTCACAACGCCGCCGATTGAGAAGACTTTTTGCGGCACCAGCTGCATGCGTCGCTCTCGCCCCGCGCACGGATGAAGCCTGCCAGCGCAAACGTCTCGAACTCGCCGGTGTACATGCCGTTCTCATCAACCTGACTGACAAGACTCGCAAATGCATGCAGCATTGCTGGAACTGTCGGTGCGCCTGTCCAACGTTCAGCTGCACTGCTCCGTGCTCCTGAGGTGTGCAAAATCAGTTGCAAAGTCTTCTTTGTCAATCCTCATGTTCACTCGTGGTGCTTTGTAAGGGCTTTAAGTACTATGACTTTAACAAGGAAACCCCAAAATAGTATTGGTAATTAAAGGCCGCTAAATTATATAATGGATCGCGGGCATGAGGTCTCCAGCTGAGAATTTCTTGTGGAGCGGTCTTCCATTCACGTTTCAGTCACCATGTCGAGGCTTAGGTCTTCAATAGCAGGGCTCAGATTCTCAAATGCGGAGGCCTTGAAAAATTAGACAAGGGCTTTTGGATACCATACTATACACTTTTTTTATTTTTAGTATAAGGGATAGTCTTACTATCGATTCCGACCCCTTTCCCTTTGCGGAGTGACTGCTACGACACCGAATCCAAATCCGAGCACAGACTCTGAGTGTGGGCTTCTAGATATCATGGCTGCAATTTGTTCTGCAGCTATAGCGGTGACCACTCCACAAATTTTGCCGGACTAGTTGACTACCTTCGATGGCCCAACCCAAAAAGCAGCAAAATGGCTCAAATGGGAGCTTGGGTACCATAGTTCGGGATCCTTATAATGAGAATCCTACTGTTTAGGATACTATATTAGGGTCCCCCATTTTTGGAAACTCCCAAATGTCCTTGGCGGCAATGAGACGGTTGGTGGCGGAGCACTTCCCTCAGAGCAGGGTTCGCGAACATCTACAGCATAGAATCTCAGACTCGAAAAGGATAGAGAAGCTTGGACGGCAAAAAGACCGCATGCTAGACACCACGAAAAATCGCTCGGACTTGTTCATGCCTCCTGCCTGGCCAGGCCTAGCCAGAAAGGCAGAGGCGAGACGGCATTTTCGTGTTTCCGACCGCAAGTGTCTGTTGCGTCCAGGGTTCGAAGATAAGAGATTCGGATTTCCGGGGTGAGGGTGGCCCAAAGCCTAAACAACCCCAAACCCCTCCCCTCTGGGAACACATGCTGAGCATAGCACGGACCGCATGCTTCTGTTGCTCCTACGCTATAGGGCACGACTACGTGCTTCCTACCTACTACTCTGTACTGCGGCACAAAAGAAACTAGCAATCGCAGCAACTCTTCAACAGAACTGAGGTGTAGGAGAAAAATCTGTTTCTGCCCCTGAGCCCTAAACCTAATAGCAACAATCAGACGCATCATGTCACTCTGTCACGTGCCAGGATGCTGGGGATGTAAAGGTCCACGACGCGGCCCTGCAATTCCATGCTCCCCATGTGATACATACATACCTACCTACATACATACACACATACATACATACATGCATTCATGCACCCGTACATACATGCTTACATACATGCATGCACGCATGCATGCTTGCATGCCTGCATGCATGCGTGCATGCATGCATACATACATGCAGCCGTACATGCACACATACATACATACATACATACATTCATTCAATCATAGACTCAGACACAGACGTAGACATAGACATGCGCCTGCACCTGAAAACGAAGACACACGCACAGACAGATGCGTTTGTGTAGATGCTTGCATATAAAATACAAATGCATAAATATACATGTGTATATATGCATATGTGTATAGATGTGTGTGTGTGTGTATGCATATATTATATATATATGTGTGTGTGTGTGCAGACACCTATAGCAATATACACACGTACGTACGTACATACATACATACATACATACATATATATATATATATGTATATATATATATACATACGACTTACATACATACATACATACATACATACATACATACATATACCACGATTGAGCCCCGAACCCTTGACTGTCAACCAGGCTTTGCTTGATGAGCCTCGTCCCAACAGCTGCAGCCAATGCCACGATGCTAGCAAACTTCTATTTGTTCTTTGAAAGGCAGCACATTCTTCTCCTCCACCCGGTAACCGATGGCAAGCGAGTCCACCAGAGTCCACATAGACAGGTACTCCGAGCAGCTACAGTGACAGTGGCACACAACACAGAAAGACCATGTCTGAATCGGTATGGGCATAAGTTAAGTACATCTACAATGCAACCTCCAGTCGCGAAGTAATCGAGAACCCGGCTTATTGTATGGCCTCGTCGTTCTGCATGGCTGCTGAAGATTGCGGAGGTGTCGGGGTATCTGAGCACTCGCTGGCCTTGACCCTGTGAGCCGAAACACAGACGACGGTCTATCCAGCCTAATTCATCCCATGCCGATGCGCGTTCACTAGTCGTGCAGACCTGCGAGATGGCGGCCGACGTCAGCTGTGGCATCCGTGCATCTAGTGGCGACACCTACTCAAATTTGCAGGGCTTCTATTTGCAGTAATTAGAACAGACCCCAAGCCATTCGTGGAACCCTTGTATAACCACCAACAAGCCGTTCAGCTTGGGCTGCTGCACGGCTGCGGCTGCGGCTCCGCTGCCTGCGCCTTTGTTGCTCGAGGGTTTCACGGCTCCCGAACTCGTGCAGATCTGGGTAGTTGTCAAAACCATGGTCCCTTTTTGGGTCCCTACTATAATACGGCACCTAATATTGGGGGCCAAAAAGGGGCCCTAATTTTGACAACCACCCATCTAGACAGCGCAGCCTCCCACAAAACCCTCAGCCCCAGCCCGAAGTCAACTCGACAGGGGACCCAGTCCGCGGCGCGTTGGTGTAGGGTTGAAGGCTGCTGGTAAAGTGTTGTGAAAGGGATCCTACTTTCAGAAGGAAGGGAGCTTCATCAGCCCTAAACCCCAAGTGACGAAGACCCACATTCCCCCAGCTACTACCAGCCAAGGCACCGGTCGTCTCTGCGATCGCGTCTCGACCTGGGCTTTCCGTGAGTTAACTCGTCTTGGGCTTCGGCGACTCGCCTTTGGGTTTAGGGCTTG